GATTTGGAGTCAGCGCTCCAAGCTCTCACTAATGGTATGCAGCTTGCTGTGATAGGTCACTTCGACTTTGTGACCCTCCTTGTAAGTTTGGTGCTTGTAAGTTTTGAGAGGTACTCAAAAATTCAGTAATTGAAGGCAGCGTCCAGGCAAATTTGGACCTATAGGGCTCTCACGTGGAAAGTAGTCTTGACGCCCTAAATAAGACTCTGTCCAAGCGGCAGCTCAGATAGTGCACTCACGGCTAAGATATTAGGCTCCAAACTATGCCTCGTGACCGTGTTCGCATGGATTCATGGCTCGGTACATCAGTTTCGCATGGATCCTCGCGCGAAAGCGCCACGAACCCATGCGAATACGGTCACAGGGCATAGTTTGGAGACTATAACTTAGCCAATATCTTAGCCGTGAGTGCACTATCTGAGCTGCCTCTTGGGCAGAGTCTTGTTTAGGGCCCCAAGATTACTTTTCATGTAAGAACTCTATAGGTCCAGATTCCTGGACGCTGCCTTTAAGAGATTCCACGGTCGGTAGTAATCTAGTCAAAACTCACGGTTACTCGGACTTAATTCTGAGTTATATCTGAGCTTTTTCGCCGACCTCTTTTTTACCTCCTCAATAAGTGCCTGAATGGACCAAATCTAGAAAGCGATGATATAACAGGAGACTCCGTAACCGGTAATTTACTCCTAGTGGGAAAACATCGTCGAAATCGTTATGCAAAAGAAAAAGCGCCACCAAACGCGCAGCTGTGCTTTGCGATAACTCTGAGTTTGGTGCGCGTTGATTACAGACGTTACAGTCTATCGTGGAAGTTAGAGATAACTCTGAGTTTGGTCAGAGAAAGAGAAATACGGTACAAAAGAAAAGGGGCGGCCAAAAAGTATTCGGAGAACATCTTTGTACTTTCAGCAGGCATGATGGGGGGGGGGGGGGAGAGAGAGTATCTGGTGCGCCGGTATCTACAAAATTTTGAAGTCTTGTAAAATCTGGGTCCAGGGATTATTCGGTGCGCTGATCACGAATATGTTACTCATTTTTTCAATTTTGGGTCATAAAGCCGTGTTGCTGTGGGTTCAAAAATTTAGAGTCTAAGTTTAAGTTTTAAAGTTTACCCAATGACGCCCATGAAGAAAGTGATAAACGCTGTTGGAGAAAACCATCAAAATCCTGGCTCCCTGGATAGCGAACGCATCACTATTACTGTACAGACTACTGCGCAAGGACCACAAAACATATACACTTCCCATTAAAGGCAGTGTCCAAGCAAAAAGTCGATTTCGAGGTTATATGCTTACCTGGGCCTATTCGCTATGCTGAATCCGAAAATCAACACTGGAGAGCGCGAAAACGGCGAAAAAAGGCTCCAACGGAGGAGGGAAATTGCAGGTGGGCGGGGCTGTTCACATAATGGTGTCACTTTCCCAACTTCAGGAGCGATCTTCTCGCTTCCGCTAACCGCACTACCATCACACCACCCAACTGCGAAACGCATGACATAAAACCGGGACCGAGAATATCGCTCCTAAAGCCTGGGAGAGTGACGTCGCGGTATGAACGCCCCCCCCCCCCCCACCTGCAGTTTCCCTCCTCCGTTAGAGCCTTTTTTCGCCGTTCTCGCGCTCTCCAGTGGTGATTTTCGGATTCAGCATGGCGAACAGACCCGAGTAAGCACAAAGTCTCAAAATCGGCTATTTGCTTGGACACTGCCTTTAAGGGTTGTGGCTGACAGAAACTCTGAAGTGACGTGCTATGCTTATGGAGTTCCATCATTCGACGGTCACCGAATATTTGAATATTCGATAACCGTCGAATGATCGAATGTGACCATTGACTATTTGACTTTCGAATAAGATTCGAAAGTTGAGATTTTAGAATATTCGGACATCGAATATATTCGAAAACTGAAAATTTTGAATATTTGAGTTTCGAATTTCATTCGAAATCTCAGATTTTCGCATATACGATTTTTCGAATCATTCGCATTCGAATGATCTATTCAAATGATTGAATAGTCATTCAATTCGGTCCCAAGTATACCGTCCCACCCGATTCTCGACTTCCATGTTTTGATCGTTCCGGGGACTTCTCATGTCCCTGATTCCGAATATGAAGACAAGTATCCGCGAAGATTCCAACAATCCCCGTTCAGGAGAACCCGCAGGCCGGCTTTCCGGAACGGTGATTGACTGGACGCGCAGGGATGGGCGTTCATGGATGGGGAGGGCGGTGCCGTCTGGGGGTTCTCGTGCATCTTTGTTGTTCCGGAGCGATTTTCTCGCTGCTCCCGAAGCGACATTTTGCGCCGCGACTTGGGCATTAGCTTGATAGGGGCCTCTTTTATCACATGCTGTTAAAAGCTTAAAGGCAGCGTCCAGGCAAGTCTGGACACATGGGGATCTCACGTGGATAGTAGTTTTGGGGCCCTAACTAAGCCACTGCCCAACCGGCAGCTCAGGTAGTGCTCTAACGGTTGAGATGTTCCCCTCGAAACTGGACCTCGCGACCGTATTTGATAGCGCAAAGCGTGGTTCCTGGCGCGAAACTACCACGAATCCATGCGTACGATCGCGGGGTCCAGTTTCGAGGGGAATATCTCAGCCGTTAGAGCACCATCCGCGCTACCGCTTGAGCAGTGCCTTAGTTAGGGCCCCAAAATTACTTTTCACGCAAGATCCCCATAGGTCCAGATCTGCCTGAACGCTGCCTTTAAGACCCTCAACTTAGGGTGGACGGCGCTTTCAAGAGAATCCCGACTTATCCCCACATAGAGTGGAAACTATCGCGAATAATCTCTCTACACCTTCCACTCTACGGCGACCGTGCTAACTACCGTTGTTTCGTTGGAGAAGTATCACCACGGACTCTCACCGCTGACGACTGCGATCCAGGTCATGACGACAATCATGCTTCCAGGACTAGATCATTTTTCTGTTGAGCTTCTGCCAGCTAACATCCTGTCTTTACTAGGATAAGACTCTTGATGCTAAAATTTAGAGACCATTCTGTCTTCAGAGAGGACAAATAGAACACCTCTCATACGTTTAATTTACCTGTTGTGCGTATTGTGTGAGCTTTCCATGAGAACTGCCGTCGCTCGCAATCAAGGACAAGAACTCAGCCCCCCCCCCCAAGGATAAGCTATTTTTGCTAAGAATTGCTGCCTGAAACCACATTCATACAGTCTCGAGAGACATCAAAGTCTGCTGATACCGCGCCTCTCGTTACTTTCATCAACTACGCCTTTGACAGCGTCAAAACCGCCAACCTTTCTCGGCCATGGAGTGGATGCAGCTTATGTAAGGACATTGACCGACTACTTAAGGAGCGTATGACAAAGTGTAGTTTAGTGTATCTATAGTTTCCTGCCACTTCGAGTTGTTTCATACTGCAGTCGCTGCAGCAACGGCAGTCAATCGATCGATATCTTTTGCCTGTGCCGATTTGACACCAGTCGCTGCAGCGACTGCAGTATGAAACAACCCTTCAGTGGGGAAGGGTATAACAAGATTTTGACGAATATGTTGGCCGCAACATGCCGGATTATGGATGGATTGGGATGAGAATATTTGAATTATGAGGGAAGAACAACAGGGTTAGAAGATAGCTCAGCCTGGCTGTAGCGAGCTTCTTTCGAAGGCCGATCAAGAATATCACTTGTTCAGTCACAGCTGCCTGAAGACTTCTGTCGGCTGTGAAGGCAGTAGACCGACTATCAAGGGGCCTATTTACAAAAAAATGGCATCTAAGGAGCGATCGGGTTCGCCAGCTAGGCTCTTACGAGATCACCTAAGTAAAATTTGTTAGTGTTGTGCACTACTCTTGTTTGGCAAAGGCAAGCAGAGACTACCACCCGATTACCTCTTTTTGTTCGTCACAAGCAAGAAAAAAGGAAGGGATCAAAGAAGCAAAATTGCGCGCGAGGCGGGATCTCTCACAAAAGTTTCTACGCAAAGACTACATGATTTGTTTTGGCCACAGAATACCCTTCGGACTTTGGGCTTCACGTCTCTCAAGCCCTTCTTTGGAGCTCCATATCAATGGACGGTTCTAGAAAACACCTTGTGAAGTTCTTTTCGATTTTGCTTCTCCCTCTCGTCTTGAAGGCATATCATCCCCATAATATTAGGTTCGCTCGAAAGTTCTGGGACATTTTCAGAATAAATTTGCTATTTCTCGAAACCCAATGCATATACATTCTCGAAAATTTGTAGTTGTACTCTCCCTCGCCGTAGCTGATATCTAAGCAAGTGGGAGGAGCCTAGGACTATGAGGGTGGAGTTTGCCACTTTTCAATCATCTCGTTTTTCTTGTTGTTGAAGCTCAAATTCCGCACAAACTGTGCTTGTAAGCATATAAGTATGTTTGTGCTATAAATTGAAGCATGTGGGGATTTCAAGATGTTTGTAGAAGTTGGAGATCTGGGTTGGGTCAAAATCCTATGTTTTGGAATTTTCGCCCGATTTTTCAGAGAAAACAATGATGTTGCTTCTGCTTACCATAGTTCTGTAGAGCTCGCTCTCCTCTATCTTATGGTATGCAGCATGTCCCAATCAGGGCTTAAATCCAAACAAAAACTTTGTCTAAATGCAATGAACTCCGAGAACTTTCGAGCCAACCTAATAGTCATTAATTCGTTCAAGCTAGCGAGATCAGACCGTCCAAAACTGTGAATTGTAAAAAAGAATAACTTTTTAAAACGAAGAACCTATAAGACCAGAATTTTCAGAACAACCTGTACTATCACGCCAGACTCCGTAGTGTTTGATCCATGTACATAAGCATCTTCGGATTACATGGATCTTGCGTGATACCGCGAATAAACACGCATCAATTGTGTCGATAACAAGGCGCAAACTTGACCGAAGACCCCGTTTGCTAGCAGAAGGCAATGATACCAGTTGTCAGCGATGCATATAAAGCTGTTGCGCAGCCGATGGTGATCGCTATTGCCTTTGTCTCGCTATCATATACAGTATTGAGTAACATAGTGGAACATTTTAGGTAATCGAAACCTCTTGTTTGGCGAACCAACAAGATGCTGTATGTGCACACGATCGTCCAAGTAGTGTCGGCTTCGGCCGCTGTCGCAGCTTTGACAGCAATAACATCTACGGTATTGATGCTCTACGATATCACCGCCTTCCAGGACGAGATCAAAATGGATCTGCAGCAGTTCAAGGTGAGAACCCACCAACGAAGCCTATTTCCAAGTTCGCTTGTTCAGGATATGGCAGACGATGCGTGGAGTGAGATGATGACTTCCATGAACGGAAGAGTTGAGCGACCAGCCATCTTCGAGAGATACATTACCAGAAGCAAGAGGCAGTCATCGGGTAACATCCTGCTTGAAAATGCATTCTGTTCAAAGAATTTACAATTCAACTTTGACAGAATGCCAATGCGCGCCAGCTGCTACCGGGTGCCCACCAGGCCCACATGGGCCACCAGGACACCCAGGAGAAGATGGAGTACCCGGTCTCCCGGGAAAGGATGGTGGACATGGAGGTGTTGGATATTCTGCTCCATCCGGGGTGCCTACCTCTTGCATCAAATGCCCAGCCGGCCCACCTGGACCCCCAGGGCCGGATGGCGGTCCCGGACCCGCTGGTCCACCTGGAAATGCTGGATCTGATGGAACCGCAGGAAGCGCTGGTGCACCCGGTCCCGCTGGTCCACCGGGAGCTCCTGGTAGCAATGGTAGTCCAGGAGCCGATGGAACTCCCGGAGCACCTGGAGAACCTGGCACAAGACAGATCAATCAACCAGGACCAGCAGGAGCTCCTGGCGCACCTGGTGCTCCCGGACATCCGGGACAGGTAAGGCCTTTTTTTAAGAATTGAATTATAAGTAGCTTTTGCAGTATATCTCATACTGCTTGCAAGTATCAGCACACTTTGTTTACGCACCCTTAGAGCAACTGATTATGTCTAACATTTCAGGACGGTAGCAGTTCAACAGGAGCACCAGGCCCAGCAGGTCCCGCAGGGCCTCCTGGCAGAGATGGATCGCCTGGTACACACGGACAAGCAGGAGCCGCAGGAACTAACGGAGCACCTGGGTCTGATGCAGCCTACTGCCCATGCCCACCCCGCACATCCAACCTTTGAAGAGACAAGCATAACAGCTGTTCTTGATGCACTTCCTACACTGTGCTCCTTCCTTTCTAGTATAAATCTCCCTAGAGAAACAAATCTCAATACTGCAAAAAATGATTTATCACAAAACAATAGACCCGTTTCAGTATAAGGCATAATATGTATACAGCTGAGAAATAGAAGAATGAAAGAGACGAATTTAGGCAGGAGCACATCGCCTCCGGCTTTGTAGATGAGAAACACAGAGACGAGACATGGTAGAGATACGGTCATGAAGGCAGAACATAGCTGGTAGCACGACAACGCCGTGGATCAGGGAGAAGGAGATACACATCACCATGGCCAGGGCGAACACCTAAAATGAGAGTTCATACTTAGTTTGTTGAGTACTACAGCCGTTTTTTGCGCGGACATAAAATTTTTTATTTTATTGAGTGTTACGGCGGTAGTGGTGTTTTTTTTGTTGTTGGAAAAACTTGCTGTCCAGTTTTATTTATCGAGACTAAAAGCTGCGAAGTTCGGAAAACTCTGATTGTCTCAATGTTTAAATTGTGTCCGATTTATTCAGTACCAATCAGAAAAAAATCGAATAGGGACTTCCCCCTCTCAAAAATGAGTTAACTGCCACAAAAAAAACTATTTAATTCACTTTGTCTAATAGTTTTCAGCTTCTAGATACCTACTGTTTAGAAACTTTTTTGACTTACTGTGCTCATTCCTAAGGTACCACCTAACAAGTTCGACTCTTCCATCTTTACCTAAAGCCACACCGCAAGAAAAGTTTCACTTCCTCCTGGGATGGAAATGTTCACGATTACTGAACGATTGTAACTATAAAAGAAATTCAAAAGCAGGTTCTTGCGAACTAGTCGCTTTGTTACGTCATTATGCTTTTTATCGTACAGCGATTGATGTTTGCTAAAGTTTGCTGATTCTTGAATTTATGGTGTTCCTGCCGTACTAGCACTCCTTGAGCAATTTATAGCCTTCAAAAATTATTGCTGCACAAACTGTAGTCAAAATGAGACTAAGAACTTGTCGTCACCTGTGCCATGTACAAAGGAACGAATGCAAGTGGCAGCGCACATAAAATAGAAGAAAGACCGGCTTGAACGACTGGAAAACCAACTGAGCACAGTGTGTGTTGTAATCTGAAAATAGTGATTTGTAGACAGAAGGTGCTTTTGCGAACCAATAAAACTGCAAAGGAAATGGGTTTAAAACGTTCAACACTTGTACGTTTGATAAGTTCACTGCTCAAAAAACAACATCCGATTTGAAACGAACAGAACGAGTACTCTACAAAGTGGTTTACTCAGTGACAATTTATTATAGGTAAATTTGGAAAGCTGGGTAAGAGCTGGTAAGCGGCGTATCGCTTTGTTCTTTTTTGGAAGAATCAAATGTACACCGGTCTGGTTAAATATAGTGGAGGAGCAAAGCTCCGAACTAATTGATTGAAATGCAATATGTGCACTATAATGGCATTAGGAATATTCTACGAGTATTTTCATGCGTATGTAAGGGACAACACGAACATTATTCAGCATAAAGCGCGAAAGCTTGGGTCCGCTGGGCAAGGTCTTAGCCTTGATGTTGCATTAGGTTGGCCGAAAGGCCGTTCACACCTTTTTCCAAAATTCATAACTTCCTACGTTTTCAAAGAAACTGCACAATTATAACTTCTCCTCAAAGACCAAATCATATCCTTTGCAATAGCCTTGAAAGACTTTCTGTACGCAAACACTGCAGAAAAGCTGTAAAAGAGAATTACTCAAATTTTGATTTTTCTGCTTAGGTTACCAAAAATTTGGAACTTGCTGTGAAAGTGGAACACTTGTCGAGCAATACAAAGGCAGTTTTGACTTTTCTGGCAATTTTCTCGAAAACTCAGCTTTTGATAAAAGCGCTCAATCAGCACAAAGTTTCCTCTTAGAAGAAACCGGCCATAAGACTCAAAACAACAACTGCTCCGATTTTTAGTGCAAGCTTCAGATTTTGGGCAGCTTCGCACGGGAAAGAAATTTCGGTAATTTTCTCAACAACTTCTGCCTCTTCAGTGTTTGCTTGTTGGAAAGTAGTACAGAAGTTGTCGTAAAGCGCATTATTTCCACTCTCAGATATAGTTGGAATTGTGCAAATTTCTTGTGAAGTAAGCACTAATGATTTTTTGAAAATGATTCGAACGAACTTCCATGCCAACCTATTACAATTGCAGAATATTGGAAAGATAAAACTTAAAAGATGATATTAGAATGTACCATGGAAATTAACTTTCTTAACTCTTCTCCAACTAAGAAGCGCGCAGCGGGATCTGTGGAGATGGGATGGGAAAGTCTTATGTCGCACAACCATCTACGATGAACTAGTGATGACACACGCCTTCGCTCGAGAGTTGAAGAAGATGTGTTTTTGTACGAAACTTTCAAAAATAAGTTGTGTTGGAAATAATGTTGTGAAATAGTATTCGTCTTTGAAATTAAGCTGACCTTGCTCTGAAGTTGGGCCCATCCACCGTGCTTGTTGAGTCTGAGCTACAAGTTGACGTTGTGCTGATTTCTTTCTTGATTGTATGCAAACCTGAAAAGTTCTGTATCATCATTATGCCAAAACACTGTAGACCGCAGCAAATAGAGATTGTTGGCTCTGTCACTTCTATTCTGAGGTAAATTTCCATATTGTATTCAAAGTGTTATAAACCACACAAGAGTATTTCGTTTGGCAAAGATCGCTGCCTCGGAAGTGAACTTTTCTCCCCAAACTAACGAACACTACAGGTGAAGCTTTTTATTTTTTAGCCTTCATATGTCCTTAGGGGTTTGGGTCGCTAGGTGAATTTGACACGACTAATAGAGAGTGGCAACTGCGGAAGAGGGCGATCTGCATGGGTAAAATATGCGAATGACTTTCTTCACTTGAAAGGAATTGAAAATAGCTGTCAAAAGTTTGCAAAAATTCATAATAGCTTCGTGGAAGTTTCTTTTGAGGAGCATACCTCCCCGCCTCCTTTCCATCATACTTGGAGGTTACAAACCCGCAAGAATTTTGGAGACTCACAAAACCTAGAAAAATTTCGTAGGACGTCTGCCCGCTCTTACTCCTCCGCCTCCCCACCTCTCCACCTTCCCACCCAAAAAATCTTCTCGGGGTCACTGAGGGTAAATGTGGTAAAGTTGCATAGGCTGAATGAACATATCGCCTCACAGTATTTTTCTTGTGCCCAGGCATACAAAGAAATTCCGTTAGTATCGCAATCCACATGAAAGGCTATAAGGCGGGACGCAAATCTCGCCAATTGTGATAATGTGGCCATTTTCGTGATATACTTTTGTTTCTTATAATTTGAATTACGTACGAGCTGCATGGTAATGGAAGGAGACGTGAGCTGGGATGTCAACGCTGAAGCCAATGCACATAATCGCGATTGACATCACAATTGGGTCCAGAGTTACACCGAGCAGTGATGTATACCCGAACACTCCTGAAAGTTAAGTTCTCCAAGTGTCAAGTAGAAGGTAGAATCCGTAATTGCGGAACTTCTTCTTACCTATGCAGGTGGCCAAAATTGCTGTCGACACGATGAAGATCGTGGCAAAGTGGTTGATGAACATTGCACAGACGATGATGACGCAGACGAAGGTCGCTAGCCCAGATTGCCAGGTTATTGTCGGTATGGCCTTGAAAGGCACTCAGAATAATTTTTTTGCATTCGCGACGGCGCAAACACACCTCAAGAAGGTCGATGTAGAATGCATCGTCGGAGAATACTGTGGCGTTGAACTGCCTGTATATAATTTGATTTTAACAAACAAGTCACTGATTTGCAATCGTGCAAGCGAAAATGGAGAGCGACCAAAATGTGATCTTTGCACGTACCTTCCGAAGCGATCAACTTGATCCCGCAGCGCCTTGAGAAGGTGTCCTTTTTCGACCCATGAAACCAGGTGTTGACCATGATAGCCGGTGATAAACATGAATTTCGAAGCAGTAAGACCACTGAAAGCATTTGATGTATGAGTAGGTAAGAAATAAATGATGGTAATGTTGAATATCTTGCAAGTCATAGATCTAGAATGTCTAAAAGTCGTGATAATCATAACCATTCGCAAGGACATCCAACTGGCCCAAATTTCCATTTAGCAAGAGTGGGTCATGAAACCGAAGCCAAAATTGAAATCAGCACGGCACCTTATAAATATTTTTAGCAAACGAAGTTTTATAATACTAGTGCTCCTAATTGGTTTGTATGTCGCAATATGCCAGCGCTGATTTAAATTTGAACAACTGTGGATTTTCTTCCTCCAAAATACCAAACCAAGCGAATTCGTTGAGGCGAAAAAGTTACGTTTTCTTTCCAGTTTTTTGCATGACTTGTGAAAGCTAATAGTGTTATACAGCCAGTACAGCTACGGTTGAAAGATGCACAACAAATTAGCGATTCTCATTTTTTCAAGTAGGGCATCAATCAATTTGACTGATATAAAGAGAAAGAAGTGTATTATAGCCTCCTGAAATTCTTTCTCGGAAAATGCACACCAAATCAAAAAGGTTCACCCTAGAAAATTTTTTTCACGAGAAATTATTTGATCCTAACCATGTTTTTTCTCAGTTCTCATCATTTCGCTACAGTTAGCTTGCTTTCTTGTACGCAAAGGTTATAGAAAAGAACTTCAAGGAACGGAATTATAAACTCACTCAGTGGTGTTCTCTAGCTTTACAAAGCCTTTCCAGAACGAGTACTCCATCCAACCTAAGAACGACTCTATTGAGTCCGCACCCGGATTCGTTTCCAGCTCCTCATGAATCGACTCCTTGTACAGGAGGTAGTCGCTAAATTTGATTCATCTCAGAATAACTATATTATTATTCTGTGCGACCGTAAAGAACTTTTACTTCTACCAAAGCAGATCATTTCAGAAGAAACTTTCACCAGTGTAAAAGATATTTAGTGCTTACTCGAGGAAGAACTTGGTGCTTTCAGGCCCGATAGCATCAGGAAGGGTCTCAAAAGCGTTCTTCATGGCAAGCAGCTGCCGCACATTCTCAGGATCAGAGATATTTCCTGGATTGTTGACAACCACCATAGCTGAGGTATAGTATGGAACCATGTATCTATTTCGGATACTGTCAATCTGAACAAAGGAATAGCATTTAGCAACCAGTGGTCTCTTACATGTTAGTATACCTTGATTAGTTTCGAATCCGGCAGGAACATTTTTTGCGATGAAAGGTCGATATTTACAAAAAATAGACCCTAAAAAGAGCACACATCCTTCATGAAGCTAAATCTCTCGTGAATGCATCATCGTATTAAATAATGATAATGTTCATATCCCACCGTAAGAATCGAACTTGAAAGTCATAAAGGAGAGGATGTCCAAGACATTCCTTCAGAATTTATTCTTTATTAGCTTGTAACTTTTTTATTTGCTCTCGCACCTGCTATGTTCAACTGATATACGATTTGAGAGAAATATGGGGAAAGAAGGAAGAGACCAAACATAGCTGACAAAACATCCGGATCAAGCGTTTTATCAGCAAATTCCATCTAAAGAGCGACTTTCAACAATAAAATTGGTCTCCTAAGCGAAAAAATTGAGCATTTTCTAATCTTTCATGTTTTGATTGTATGCACCATCTAAAAAATTCGGATGAGATCAGGGCTCGGCACAAGGTGGCTTACAAGCAAGCTGGATATCGTTTTTGGGACGAAAAGCAAAGGGGGTTTCGTTTTTGTGACCGAAAACACACGCGAAATTGGCGATTTGGCGACGTTTCGTTTTTTGGAGGATTTTTAGGGAATATGGTGGGGGGTCAAAGGGGACTTCGTAAAAATACCCAAAAGTCAAGGGGGACTTCGTTTTTTGCATTTTCATCTAGCCACCTCGTGCCGAGCCCTGGATGAGATTCATTTTCTGTCCAAAATGGTCTTTCGGTCTATGCTTTCAGTAAATTTTACAATAACCCAGAAACTTCAGAAGAGGTTACAATTTTACCCCGAACAACTTCGAGACTATTTCGTTGCTTAGAGAGACGATCACATTATTATCGGTTATTTTGCGATGAGCGCAGTAACAGAATCGCAATAATAATGTTTAGGTGTTGAGATAAAAATATTAGCTTACTGTTATAGCTCCCGCGAAATATAATGCCCATAGCACCACAACCGCTAGCGAAGCTTTCCAGTCAGCAATTATTCCGCTATATTTGTGCAAAAATCCTTGGGCTATCATTTCGATGCGAGAGGGCCCCTGAATAAGGACATTGATGCGTCATATATTGAAGCAACTAAAAATAAAGCACCTTCTTTTCCTCAAAGGCTTTAGGGGAGTCAGCGAATAGCGCCATGACTGCGGTATAGAAAGTTACTAAAAAAATTGGAATTGAAAGAGTGGAAAATATTGAAAAATCAGAAGGTTAGAACTTTACGTTGATATGTCATATCCATGAAGATGCATGCAGCGTTGCCAATGCAGAAAAGGCGAATTTCTGGAGGCGATGAATAGGCACCGATAGCAAAAGCTAGTATGTTCGTAAACGCTGAGATCGTGATCGCTGGTCCTGTTTCGACCAACACCTAAAAGCAGTTTTTTACTCCATCATTTGGAACTAAAAAATTATTGGCATATGTCATCAGAAAGAAGTATATAAGTTGTAAGCTCAAAAATGCTGCCCATGTTTCTTCACGTCTTTTTTTTGCTTGCATGAGGTTTTCATACGAACAGAAGTCTTCTCTGCGCATTGTCCAATGATGTTACACTCACTCTTTGGCTCAGGAAAATATTTTCAAAATCTCGCAGTTTATTAATTTCGCTGCCGGAGACGCGAGAATACTGGAAAAAGGGTGCGGGAGACCCTGGAGCAGTGGAAAAGTACCATACATGGTAGAGGAAAGGAGTGAAACCCCTTGCAAGAATAGACTCAATTATTGAGGCTTTGAAAATAAAAATACCTGAACCATCTTGTCGGGCCTCGATTTTGTACTTAAAATGTCGTCTTTCTCTATACGATTCCACGAGTGCACCATTAAGAAAGCATCGTCAACGCTGATAGCGAGAACCTAAACAAACGAACAGGTTTGTCGCTTTTGCTACAGGACATGCGGTACTGAACATACAATATTCGCATCCTGCATAACTGGGAAGAAAGTTTTGAGCATTACAATGCAGACATTTTTTTCTCTGATACTCTGACATGATATAATTTTATATTGCACTTTTCAGGAGGTACCTATCGTGCGAAGTTTGAAAGGAGTTTGCAATTTTCAAACACAGCTCAAAGTTTGAATTTCCATGTATGTATTTGTGCCCGCGTTTAGCGAGGAACGTGGGGCAGGAGGAAGAAGCGGCCGATGATTTTTTGAAATGGTTGAAACTGGTTTGCATGGCTCTGAAAAATTTGCAAATGACTTGCTTTTACTTTAGAAATCATCGAAATTTTGCAATGTTCCAGATATCAATCTTTGCCTTGGAATTAAACTCTTGGAACATCGTGGCTACCGCCAACTCTTTCCCCCCTCTGTCAACTCTTTCTCACTGTTTGAGGTTATAAGCGAGCCAAAATCTTGGAAAGTAAATCGAAATTACTTCGCAGGGTGCAGTTAACGCCAAGCCTTTTCAGAATGATTCTGACTTTCTCTTCCCTCCAAAAAAAACTTGAAAAAGGCACTGACGCTTCCCCATGTAACCACTCAGAACAGAGGCATTCCAGAGATATGGTTTTGGTTATGGAAAGCAGAATACGGCTTGCAGGACTAGGAAAAGCACGAAATGCAATTTTTCAAAAGTGGCAAAAATCGGTGACCGAACATGTCAACAGCTTGACTGGAATGTTTAGTGATGCTTGCTTTTCTTTGTCGATGCAACATATGCAAAAACTTTGTTTCTGACCTAAAACAAGATGCCTTGCCTCAATAGGACAAGAACTCACCAAGAACGGGGTTACATTGAGAATGGGAGAAAAAGTGACTCCCAACAAGAACACAATGCCAAATGCTGTCCCGCATGCCATAAAAGGTAAAACACATGCTGTTATGGAAAGTATCACCTGAAAATGGTACTTGTGGTCCTTTTCAATGGTAGATCTTTGCGTAAATGGCCTACTTTGTTGAAAGTGGCTTTATGGTGATAGACTGTGACAGAGCTCAGTATTGTGGTCGTGGTACAAAATATACACATAATCACAAAACCGACCAAAAGAAATGGCCGCAGAGAATTTCCGGCCAGCATGATGTCTAAAATAGTAAAGTTTCGTGACGTAAGACTTTCTACTCTATCGAAATTGGTTTCGTTAACACTAATGGGAGTTTTTGTCAACATTCCATTGACCTTACCCACTTCACGGTCATCTCCAAAGTCTATTTCTTCCCTCCTTTTTTTTTGTTTCTCAAACTATACTCTTTCTAGGTCAAACTCATTTTGAGGTGAAAACGATTGCATGACACAGAAACCTACCGTATTCAACGATAGATGGCGATAGTGCACTCACTTCAATCTCCGATTGATCGAAATCCCTGTAAAGGAAGCTATTGAGGATGACGGATTATTAAGCAAAATAATGATTGACATATTCTAAGTGAATAAAGAGTCAAACATCATACAGTTGCAGCGGTAGAATTTGTCCAAAACTGCGGGATTCGCGGGATTCGCGACTTCGCGGGATTTGCGGGATTCGCGGGATTTGCGGGATAAGCGGGATTTAGCTATAACTTTTTCTAAAACAGCTTTATTTGTAATCTAAGTGAAGATTTGGCTTCAGCATGATGAGACGAATCGTTTGATATACAGTATGTCCGTAATTCGTGGTGAGGGGGTAGACTTACAATGATACCTTGTTGTTCTCTATGTTAAGGCTTTTGTGAACATTTATCACAGCGTAAATCACAAATAGCAGGTTCTGGTACGAAGTTTTCATTATCGGAAACTATCGCGAAAAATTGGGCAGTTTTTATTCACCCTTATCACTGATATAAGCATTTTATCATTTATCACTGATAATATCACATTTTTGGATCATTTTTCGCATATGGTAAGGAGACTACTGTAGGAAAAGCTGTGTGAATTTCTATCGCTCTTTCTCTCATTATAAGTGATCTACAGGCTTTTCTAGTTCTATTGCTCGGTGCAATTGGTAGATCCCTCGCTGCAGCAATCGATCGATTTTTCATCGGCACATGCCATTGCTGCCAATTCTTACCTAGAATGGCATTTTTGCTTCAACTCGCTTCACGCCGAAGCCTGGGCTGAAATTCTGCACCTATATGGAAGATGAACGTGGAAATCGACCGCATGAATTTAAGCCATTCTTATCTGTCGTTGTCATTGATATCATCATTTTATCATTTAGCTGGCATACCCGGCTCCGCTGTATGTTCCGAATAGAAAATTCCATTTCTCAACCGATCCGAACCAAACTTGGCACACATACACTTCGAGCCCCGGCGGGTGTCACAGTCCACTCTTCGTTATCGATTGATGTCGATTTTATCGATTTTTTGCAAAATTTGAGCTAGGGGGCTGGAATTTGGCAGGGGGGTGTAATCGAGCATGCTGATCACCCCCACGGGAGTGATCAGCATGCTCGATTACCCCCCTATGCCAAATGTACTGTCCATTTGTACTATAAGAGATAGAGCGATAAAAACTCACACAGCGTTTTCTAAAGTACATTTCTTAATGTATATCAAAAATGATCCAATTTTGTGTCAGTGATAAATGATAAAATGATGATATCAATGACAACGACAGATAAGAATGGCTTAAATTCATGCGGTCGATTTCCACGTTCATCTTCCATATAGGTGCAGAATTTCAGCCCAGGCTTCGGCGTGAAGCGAGTTGAAGCAAAAATGCCATTCTAGGTAAGAATTGGCAGCAATGGCATGTGCCGATGAAAAATCGATCGATTGCTGCAGCGAGGGATCTACCAATTGCACCGAGCAATAGAACTAGAAAAGCCTGTAGATCACTCATAATGAGAGAAAGAGCGATAGAAATTCACATAGCTTTTCCTACAGTAGTTTCCTTACCATATGCGAAAAATGATCCAAAAATGTGATATTATCAGTGATAAATGATAAAATGCTTATATCAGTGATAAGGGTGAATAAAAACTGCCCAATTTTTCGCGATAGTTTCCGATAATGAAAACTTCGTACCAGAACCTGCTATTTGTGATTTACGCTGTGATAAATGTTCACAAAAGCCTTAACATAGAGAACAACAAGGTATCATTGTAAGTCTACCCCCTCACCACGAATTACGGACATACTGTACATCAAACGATTCGTCTCATCAAGTTGAAGCCAAATCTTCACTTAGATTACAAATAAAGCTGTTTTAAAAAAAGTTATAGCTAAATCCCGCTTATCCCGCAAATCCCGCGAATCCCGCAAATCCCGACAATCCCGCAGTTTTGGACAAATTCTACCGCTGCAATTGTATGACAGATAGTGAATCTGAGTCCCTCTTGGTAGTGTGATATACAGTAAGAATATGAAAACTTTGGTGGCAAGAAAGGTAAGTGAAAAATGGCTTAAATGAAAAGAAACTCTATGGAAACTTAGATAGAGAACAATGCATAGAGAAAGCCCTCATTAAAGGTAAAGGATCCAGACTTCAAACCTACTTCTCAAAATATGTTTGAACTTGGAGTTCCCATTCTTTCACCATTGTAGTCGTCCACGACCGATGTTTTTCAGCTCGAAAAATCAGTGCTATCAAGTCAACGGACTTCAGTGTCCTTCCATCTTCGTTTAGTTTGATACCGAAGAAGTTTGGCTAAAGATCAAACCGACCGTCTTACGATAATTTAGAATCTTGAACAAAGACTTACAAGAAGACTGAAAGCTCTGTAGAACATCTCAGAGGTTGGATAGGCAAGATCTATCCTATTAGCAATGTCAAAACTTGTATTAGCTGCTAGTATACGCATTCCATTCTGAAACAATCCCCTTATTATCACCTTGTTTGTAAATATAGCTCGAATCAAAATGTTATTGTATAGGTACTAACAAAGTATTGCCGAACTGGCTCGTTAGCCATACAAAAGCCTCGACAAAACTCGTCGAAAGACTGGTTCCTGCCAAGATCAGCATCGTACATGAGAAAATGAGATGAGACAAAGTTGAGAATCTGAAATGTCAAATTAAGTTCGGAATGCGTAAAGAATGTTTTGAGAAATCAAATCGGGGAGAGCCCGTACGGCAGAACACAACTGTAGAGTCAAATTTAGAGAAAAATTTCTATTTAGGTCAATTAGAGTTCGTACAAAATATCAGTAATCTTTTGAAGTAATCTTCAACACTTGTTTTGTCGAGGTGTTGAAGATTTCTTCAAAGATTAACCCAAATTGTTTTGCTTAGCCTCCTGCACAATGTTATTTGAGTGCTATTCGTTCAAAATATGACAAGCAGAAAAGTCATCACCTAAGATTTTTGACGAACTCATTTTACGTATGACTTCACTGCTGTTGAGCATCTTTGTTCAAGATCTTTGGTACTGCAGTGATAAGTCGCTACTCAAGTAATAGCAGCAAAACATTTCATGGATGTTTTAGGAATAAAACGTGTGAAAAAAAACTATTTATTAGTTGATGTTAGATAATCAGGACGCAAGTGGCACTTAATCCCACTGTCAGAGAGCCGGAGTTCTACTCCTCTTACTCTCGAGGTAATGCTACCGAAAACATATTGTATCATTCCGTATCTGCAAGCTAAACTAAGTTGAATTATGTATGAAAGGAAAAAATGCGTTACCAGGCTCGGCACAGCTGGCACCGGGTCAAGCTGGATGTCGTTTTTGGGACAAAAAGCATGGGATATTGTTTTTGGGCCGAAAAGACATAATAATTGCCACGTTTTTGGTCGTTTTGTTTTCAAAGGATTATTTACGTTTAGGGTTTATGGTAAAACGGGACTTCGTACGAAATTTTCGAGATCGGTACCAGCTCGTGCCGAGCCCTAGTTGTTACTCAAGCGCAGCGTTACCCTAATTTTTTGTAAGACCTTTTTCGCTTGCACTCAATCCCTACAACTCGTAAAATTCTAGCAAATTCCTCTTTTCACACACGTGAAGTATTTTTATTTAAAAATATTTTTTAAAAACCATTCTGCTTTGTTATTCGCGTATAGACCGCTGCAATATGAAAAATACCGAGTTCGAGCATATCAGATTTAGCTACTTTTTAAGAGATGATGATCATCCTTCCGAACAATCTGCAGCAACAACAAAAAATGATTTCTAACAATCATTATACCCGCCTCTCGTCTTATATAGGGAATTCCCTTTTATTTCTTTCCACCAATCCTAAGATCATTAGCCTTTCCCTTGAATTGACTGACCTCCACAGTTTGGTTCAGGTAGTGTGGGCGGATCATGGACTGGTTGTCTCGTGCCCGCAACAGCAAAAACAAAGTGATTCCTTGGCCATCGGCGTTCAGGAATTCCTGTAATCGCGGTAGGTTTAGACAAAAACGAGTCGTTTGTGTTCTATCGACTTTCACTGGTTTTGTGCCCAAGGACACTACAAAGCAGCAAACGGAACACTTTCTTCATGTCTTCCATTAATTTTATTCACTTTATACAAAGGGCGATTAATAAGGAGGAGACAGTCATAACTCAGCTTCTCACTAACAGTTCATCATGGAAAACGTTTTGTTAATGACAAAACAGGATTCATACGACTGGTGAAGTGTTGCAAGAGCGAGTTTTACGCCTATAGGGGGCCAGCAATCAAGCCGAACACGTCACTGTAAACAAAAGAGGAACAGGAAAAAGTAAACGGCTGAAACTTGATGGGCAACGTTCTGGATGCCAGCAAGCCGTAACTGACGATCTGGTGATAACTGAACAATCAAATTCCCTATAGGATCCTCGTAATATGCAAAGCATCTATCTAAATTGCATAAGATCAAATAACACTTGAAAAGATATTTTTGGAATAATGGAGCCGTTTCTCTGGCACATTTTCAATTTTTTCAAACATCAAAGATTTTGGAAGGGTAAGCTTTGGGCAGATCCGTGAGTTTCGAATAAAACTCAACCATCGATTGCAAAGACATAAGATGAAATTACTTTGGCTATAGGCGAATGTCGCGAGTATGAAACGCATCCACAGTACCCAGTTCATAATCGAATTTGTTTCACTTACTTGTCTATTTTTTGTCAGTGAAAAGCAATGTGCTTTTTCGCAAATGCTATAATCATGTCAAACACAATAGAATTACAAAATGAGGTTATTTAATCATTTTGTTGAGCTTGCTTCTTGTTACGTAACAATGTTTGTATTATGCTCATTGTTAACGTTTAGAAACAATCAACGAGTTGTTTCTTTTACCATTTCACGAAGGCTCGTTCTACATATTTGTACGTACAAAAAAAATTTCTTCCGCGCCCCTTGGATGTCAGCTGTTTATTCAGCAGTAAGACCTCAAATATAGCGCGATTTCTCCAAAATTGCGGCCATACGCGATCTGGCAATTTGCCAGATCGCGTATGGCCGCCGCGATTTCGGAGAAAATTGCCGCGTGTGAAATTCAAATACATAGGCCATAACTTTTGTAGCTTATGCGTACATGCCAAGTCTTGCTTAAGTATGCGCCTACGAGAAATTGTGGACAATCGTAGCAATTAAAAATCACGCGGCAACGAAGTATGACCGATCCCTAACGCATAAAGGCGCCATAAAGATACGATTCGATAGAGAGGTGCGATCAAAGTGTTTCAAAACATAAGTGCAGTGATCCTGACGAATGAACTCTGATTACGTCCAAAATCGATGCACTAATTAATCAGTTGAGATATTCGCTAAAATTGATTCCTCTGATTTTTGAACTGAGACAAAAATGTCAATTGAATGATTCATAGAGTGAGTTTACTTTGCTGTAACATCTGCAAACTCCAATTTGGAAGTATGTACTACATTTTCGAAGCTACAGGATGTGTCAATGGCATGCTCTCTTGTGGATTTGCAAAGTCGCACGCAAATCCCCTGCGCCACGTAGCGGGTGTAAAGTCGACCGCACAAAATCGCCCATATCGTTGTAAGCTGAACGCACGCGAGCGTGCCTGCAACGCGGCTACCGAGTACGGGCGCTATGATGATTCATGAGCGCGAATGCCAATGTTAGCCTGCAAGAGACACGATCGCGGACCTTCAGTCTGGACAATTTCGTGCAGTCAACTATATGATCTAGTGTTTTGCCAAGTTCCGCTTGATGATGTCTTTGAGTCTTGAATCCTTCTTTTTTTCCTGCAAAATTCTTTTCACTGTTTCTTGCCGCGCGCATGCTCGACGCAGATGCTCGCGTAGGTGCTACGGAAAAATGAACTCGTCATTGACCCGGCCTTTACTTTCAACCTCCAAGTTATTCCGGAATTCCTTCAAAGTTAAAGATAAATAATTTTGCAGCAGCTCACACCAACTATCATTTTTTGTATTTTACAATGCGCAAGTAAATTGTTGCTTGCGTGGCACGTCACCATCATCAAAAATCATGTGTTTCTTGAACAAAACTTTCTCAACAACAAAATACTTTTTGCCAGATGATGCGATGGTGATTATTGATAGTATCTACATGACGCTCAGAATACCCACAAAGAGTGACAGTTAAACTCCAAGATGTGTATTGCACAACACGCGCGATAAATCACGACTTCTCCAGTCAGATTCTGTCAATTTCCGGGAATTTCTTATAATTTCCTTCTTCCTTTTGACTTCATTAGATGACTACGATATGGTAAGACACAGCTCCACCGTTTGTTCCGCTTGTAAACTATTTACAAGTAAGATGCCGTCTTGCCGAGCGGAGTGTGCGAATTCATATATTCTTTCAGATGAGTACAAAACATATAATTCATTTTCTGACTAGAAGACACGAGCAAGCTCTGCGTACGTTTGCTTACAAGATGAATGTGTCATTCGCGTTTTGGTAGATCACTATAGGAATTCATGGAAATACATGTGTGAGCTTGTTGAATAACGCGAATTTGAACATGTTTTTCTAGCAATTTGCAGCAGTAGTTTACGAAAACAGGTTGAAACGCGTCCACAGACCTGTCAGTGTCGCAGTGCTGTTCGTGTCTCTTACTCAAATAATGAATATTAAAGGGCCATTTGTAACTTTGTGTGCGTGTGAATTTGCAAACATTGCACACATCACATGGCAATAAATTGCTAGGAAGTGATTACGCGCACTTGTTGCACTACTCATATCGGAAAAGTTGAGAAAGAAGAAGAGTCTTGGAAGTGAAAATTGTACAGTCTGTCCAATCCCAATGTCCAGAATTGGCATGGCGGGACTTCGAGTTGCGGGAGTTTTGCATCACTTCTATGGCTAGCTGTCTGCTCCATACCGCGCGTGTGCAGCGCTATTCCCTAATGCTGCGTGTGTGCAGATTTACGCCAAGGGTTTGACCTGACCGCGTTTGGGACAGACTGTAAACGCACTCTTGGAATGGCGCGTGTTGTACGATACACACATTTAAATAACACGACTATAATTCTAGAAATTTGGTATAGCTATCAAAACATTAGGGGTATCTTTAAAAAGCCGAGATATTCAAGAAATTTGCTCCTGATTGCATTGAGGATTTGGAGATCTCTGAGCAAAAAAAGAGGAATTGTTGAGTTTAGGATGATTTTGTAATCATGGGATTCCTTGATCTTCATTCAACTCTGTAAAATGAAACATGCTTTTGGCGGGACATTAGATTAGCTCTTCTTCGAGAAGGAACTGATTCGGCGAAATGTGTCAATAAACGCGTAACTACCAAAATCGCAAACTAATTTCCTGATGATTTCTCCTCCACAAGTCGCTACTTTTTCCTGTAGATTAGAGTAGGCCGAAGCAACGCGTTGAATATCAACCTTATTATGAGAACAACAGTTTCAATGGGAGTGACAAAATAAAGTACAGTCATCGCCGCACATAAATTGCAGTGAAACGATCACTGACATCAAATCATATCAAACAAGTTTCGTAGTACTGCGAATAGAGCAGATGACGAATCTGAAGCAAAAAGTGTGGAAGAAAGGAATGCGCAGCCTGGAGAGTTAGAGGTATTTTATTTCATGCATGACCGCAAAGTCTCGCTCAAACAATGGAGATTGTGATTTTTTTTTTCGAGAACAAAAGCGGCTGTGGTGCAGAACTTTGATGAAAAAAATTGAAGAAAAAAATCTTCTGAAAAATTGCTGATGCCTGCACTTTCACTCTAGAAAAAAACAGAAAATTTCGGAATAAAATAATCGCGAATATTTGATAGTCAGGGTTTGATCGCACTCAACTGTGATTCCTTTTTTTGTGATTCCCGGAAATTTATTATACACATTTGCTGACCGGAATAAAATGAGCAGAAGATCTGACAATGAGTACTCACAGTAGACACTAAAGTTTTACAATATAAGGGTGTAAGTTCTTGTGCTTCATGGATAACGAACGAATCATGGAGCAAAGGAATCATAGGAACCGAGGGGAGAAGACAGCCGAACTTTTAAGAGCAGCATCAAATTGGGGGGTCTAATTCATGCTGTTTCCGTGAAATGGAGGAGCTTTGGAAAATGGTGAAACCTTACGAAGTGTGCTAAACTTTATTACGGTAATCGTAAAGCAGAGCATAGGCATGTGAAAAGATTGCCAAAAAATGTTTTTTTTCTTCTTGGAATATTGAAAATAAATTCTATGAAAGCCGAGCAAAGGGCACAGTAGTTCAAGAAGATTACCACTCACTTGAAAGACGTTAAACTCGTAGCGAGATCGTGCATTATCGGTTGTCCAACCGTCCATGCGGCTGATATGTCTGAAAGCGGTAAATACAGTAATCAACAACAAAATGCACTTCTTCAGATTCGCCGAAGTCAGCAAACTCACGGGGTTAGCATTACTTTCGTCGAAAACACTGCTGTCATGACGATGCTGACAAAAATTGTGGTCCGTGGCCATGTGGCCACCAACTTCCCAACTCGGCGGCACACCCAAGTGCAGCCCCTCGTCAACCACATTTCATCCATCACCTGAAAGATGTGAGGAAAATTCACAATCCGGGGCAAGTAAGGTGCAAGAAAAGACCTCCAGGAAGCAGCTGTGCGATCTGGCAGCGATCAGGTTCCTCTACGACTTCGGTAATCAGTCGAATTTGCTCCTGTGCTATTCAGACATATTGGATAAGCGCAATTTTGACAGCGTTGTTAGTAAAGTAGAAGAATTATGTACAATGCATTAGAGAGATCGACGAATTGGAACCTTCAATGCAGCAAAAAAGAGAAACCGGACAAATGACGAAACAGTTCGCTGTTTATTTTCAGTTTGGAAACATTTTCCCTTCTCTGATGTACAAGTCGATGTTCGCGATCTAGAAAGTAGCGAAACATGGAAGTCACTTGCTTCAAATTTTGATCAAATACGCTTGAGATGTACAAAAGATAAATTGAAATGGAGTGTAATCGTCTCAAAGCGCAATCCTAGGAAAGGGTGTGACTCCGTATTTTATAATCTCAAAACTCAGCTGATGATGGTTTTGACAATTGTTTTTTTCTCGGTATTTTTCAAATCAATTACACGGTGACTGCCCTTGTCTTGAATATCGCACAATGCCACTTTCAGGAACGTACTGTATTATGAACTCATCTTGATCTTGTCACGAATTCTTTATGGGATTTTGATTGTCCCTTTTGGAAACAGAGTTCTTTGAAAAAGTTCTTGGAACTCGAGTCTCGGTTTTCAAAAAACAGTCATTTGAAAAGTTTCTCAGTACTGTTTCGCGAGTGTAATGTTTTAAAGAAAACGCTCTGCGACAAAAAGTAGCACGAAACCAAATCATAGAATTGGTAGAAGATGAATGAATTGATTGATGCAGTCACGAACTTGGCTCTAGGAAGTAAATCAATAAATCTCATGATATTCACTTTCTTTGCGAGCCATACTTCTTGATTGTGCGTGAGAAAAAATATCAAGAAATAATTCTGTGGCATCAAGAACCGCACGAAAGCAGCTTCTCTCAAATTTGGAATACAGACTCTCCTTATATGCATCAGAATGCCTCAGCAAGGCCCCAGAAAGAGTCTGTATCGAGAGTGTAAAACAATAAACTGACCGAAAAAACAAACCATCACTTTTGCACAACTTCGCGAGCTTTGTCTTGGACACCGATAACTTTTTGAGGCAGAAGAAATTAACGAAAAAATCTTTTTCAAGGATAATGTAGTGCTGGCATGGAAAGGCGACTTATACTGTCCAAAAAATCTTTTTCTTATTCTCAGAAGAAACGGATGACAAATCAAGTAGTTTGAAATTAAGGCGCACAAGGCATCGTTTTTATAGTGAATACATAAAAACTACGAAACCAAATTGTGTGTAGGAGAGCAACAAATGACGATTTTTATAGCTTGCGAAATGCACCATGGAGCTCGAATGATGCTAGAACTTTGAAAAGACGAAACCAGTTCAGACTCTTGTTCCCTCAACAAATATAATGATTTGTACCGTGTGGTACACATCCGGTTTGAACAAATGCAGCTCAGAATGTCTTGAGTCATAGATTCGTACAGGCGTTTTTTGGGAATTCGTAGGTAATGAGAATTTTTATTGACATGGACGACAATGCGAGAAGTCACTAGTATGGTTTGGATGTGAATACAAGGAGGCGAAAAATGGGATTTCTCAAAATTTAGGGCTGAACGACTCCAGTGCTCTCAAGGACGTAGTTTCTGTAAAGAAGTGGTTGTTAGGGCGGAAGTGCGTGTTCTACTCGCCAAAGACACAAAACCGTGCCAGGCGAGTATGACTGAGAAACTCATGACATCGAGTAATTTAGAGTGCATGGGACGAGACGACGTCGTCCCAACTGCGTCGTTCGTCGAACAAAAAGCCGCTAGCAGTCCCGACCCATCCCCCTATTGTGGGCACCAGTAGAAGGAATGTTTCGGCCGCTGACGCCCTTGAGATGTGAAAATTTTCGAGCATAAAAAACGGTTCGCGAAGGATTGCGCCTCTTGTTCAGGAGCAGGTTATTTTAACGATGACAGTAAAGGACAGGGATAACAGTTAAAAAGAACATCAATCTTACCAAAGCTGTGACGTCAGTAGGTGTGAAAAGTGCAGGAACATAAATTGCAACCTATCACTCATGTGATGTTTCTTGTATGTGAATCATGAATCTCTCATGTGAAGATATTTCTTGGACGTAAGTTGCACAAGAAGTTGACAGCAATAATCTCCGAAGACAACGCTGACTATCATGAAAGATGCGGAAGATCCAACTTCCATTTTGTTTTGATCTTATTATTTTTGTGGTGTAGAATCACTACCACAATCAGTCTACCACAATATGGGCTTTCAGCGTTGAATATACATGCTTTGAACTGTGGGTGCAAATGTGTTAAAGGTGATGACTATAACATTTATGTTATGTATAAGCTCAATGTAAGGACTCCAGCGGCTCATGCCCTAGCGGCCGTCTCGCTCGAACCTTGGCCGCGTTCGCGAACGTATCCTCTGGTTATTTTGCCACGCCTTAGGCCCTCATTCGCTGCTGAGGCATGAGAAAGCCCGGAATGTACTATGCACGGCGCAGGGTATGAGCAAAGCGGCTGCGAAAAGTCATACCGCTAGAGCTGTGACTCTCACACTGACACAGCCTACAGAGTACTCACTCCTATAGTCGCTTTGTGCAATTGCACCGATTTCGCAATCTGTAATAGAGTAGCCCAGGAGTGGCATGGTCATTATCATGATACAATAAAGACAAAAACTATTGCACAAGGAGGAAAAGGGTCCCTTACTTTTCAAGCATGCAATTGCTGCCAATTCGAAAAAGTAATGCAGACCCAAAGCTGGTGAAAATGGGGACTGCTTTTATAGCAAATCAAAAACATTGTCTCTATGTAAGGCTTTACAGCGCCCGTTTTGATTGAAGCAGACTATTAGTCACTTGTGTTTTTCATTTTATTAGAACCAGTATCAAAGCGGCAACCTTCGATCTTTGTCATAGCAAATGCAGACTGCAAACAGCTCTCCCAAACGGGATGAATTGAAGCTATAAATCATTGAACAGAAGTTGTGGATCATTAGTTAAATTAAAATACTCAGTGCTGTACATCCAAAGTGGTGATGTTTTTATAGAATGGGCTTACAAAGGAAGGATACTTGGTCGAAATGGCGTTTCCATAGGAAAGTAACTGTCTTCTAAAGCCTGGAACGCTAATTCTGAATCTCACCTCAAATCCACGACACTTAATAACTACATAGTGTATTGTAGGCCCTAGAAGGTCACAAACTGTGTTGGTCCGGTCTTCTAATGTTGTCTCCGATAGGAGAGACCGGACCTGCAAGTGCTAAATCCTCCTTGCACTCCGCCCCCTCTTTGCGCTCCACCCACAGTGGGCTACCCCTGATGTGTTCTGACATGACAAGCAACGCTGAGACGCATAGTTTGTGATGTGGCACTATTGCATACGACGAAGTTTCTTGTTGCATACGACGCGACTAGCGCCGGAGCACTCGTCCTCGTCTGGCAAAATAGGGCTTTACCACTGTTATTCGCACTTCATATCCAAGATTGGAAAGGCCCGGTAACAGTAAAAACATAAATAAAAACATGTAAGTCGAATTTTTAGGTGGGCTCTGCTTTTGAGTTTTTTTTCAGCGCTTGCCTTCTTAAAGGCAGTGTCTCACCAAAATTTAGTTGCCGAGATTTTAGCATTTTGCAAGCCTGTCGGACCCTGTCTAGCACTGTATGGGCTTAAAATCGCACGAAGTTCCCAAAAACCCCGTTTTCTGGAGGCTCCGCGGAAGCAATGTGGACGAGTTGTACCTTCCAACTTCAGCCTTAGCCACAGTGGCAGCAACAGAGGGAAGGTGGATGCCAATGGAGGGACATGTTCAAACGCGTAAGGGGGGAGACCGAAGGAGTCGTCCGCGCGTACCAACTGGCTCTCCGCGACCACTTTGAGCGAATTTTTCTCAGCGTGAAGGGGGTCAAATTGAGTGGGACTTGTTGCAATGGCCTATGTAGAGGTCCCTATAATAGAATATGTGAAGATCCGCGCGACCTCAACTTTGGTGGGACACTGCCTTTAAAGGCAGTTGGCTCGGGAAAATTGCAACTGCGCTTCTTCTGTTCCTCCTTGACCTTCTGAATGCGTCTAGACCAGAGCTGTGCTTGAAAAATCAAAAAGTGCTTTTTATGGCGTTTTCAGATCTTGGAGATTAGGAGAATCCCTCAGAAAACACTGACTGATTGCAGGAGATTGTAACACCACTCATTTTGGTGGCAATTGGCTGTTTAGCCCAGGCAGCCAATCGCGACTTGGCTGCAAGAATCTCCGCTCCAGCCTCCTCAGCATTCTCCAAAGCCGGAGAGGCGAAAAACGCTATAAAACGCTTTTTTGATTTTTCAAGCACAGCTCTGGTCTAAACGCATCCAGAAGGCCAAGGAGGAACAGAAAGTTGCAGTTGCAATTTTCTCGAGCCACTGCCGTCAAATTAGTGCCACTTCAGAAAATCTCTCAAATGTAATGGTGCTCTCAGCGCTCATCTCAGACAGAATTTTTTGTGGGCTTTCATGGCTGTGCAAATGGCATGAGCAAATTGTTGAGTGACAGAGATAACCCGTTGGAGTATTATGGTTCTGACCTCCTCGGGAATCTTTCCTGTCAAAATATTTGGTTCTCAGTGGCCCAAACTTTCATGGAAGTTTTTATCGTAATCCTGCCACTAGTGAAGGGCGGAATCTTAACATTATCATGCAAAGGTGATAAGAAGCCGACTTTCTCATGCTATATCAGAGCCTAGAAACGAAGATCAAGAGAGTTCAACGATTAAGCAGTGTTAACATTTTTTTATAGTACTTTTCGCCTGGTCATACGAATACGAATGAGAAAGAGTGGTCAAATATTACTACATGCAGAGCGCACCGCAGAATGAAAACAAAAATTTTAGGGGCTATGATTTATCACGGGGTGTGCGAGAAAGTCATGGCCTTTGCAACACCTATGAATTACCTTAGGCAGATTTGTGGTTGAATTTCTGCATAAACTTCCCAGCTAATCGCGATATTTTGGAGTAATTCCGAACCCATAACCTAGTATTTCATCTAGATATCCATTATGCAATGCCTTCTGGTTGACGCTGTCTTCTAATCTGACCCTATTACCGTTAAAATTAAAAAAGTGAAAACTTACTTGGACAAAGGAATGTTAAGAATTAAGATTAGCAGAGAAAATTTGCAGTTATTAGATTTGATTTCTGTGAACTGTAAAATGTACTCGAATAGAAACCTGTACCGCAGCATCAGTGACGATTCCAGAATTTCATTTGGGTAAAGCGGGGTGGAGTGCGGCAAAAAAAAGTCTGTAGAGATTTTTTAAAATATCTTCAATTATTTACAAGTATAAATAGGTCGCTTGCGCATTTTTACAAGTCATGTATCAGGTGTAAAATTTTGATAAATATCAATTTCGAGGAAGCAATTTCAAGATTTGAGAGCAGAACAATCAGGCGCATTGATACTTTAATCTGTCTTTCATTTGTAACAAAAACAATGCTAAATTACCCCTGCGTTTACTTAACTCCGATATTCCAATATAATGGCAAATTGCCATAGGACAAACACATGACTCGGTGAATTTCAATTACATCCGTCGAACTCTAATACTTTGTGGTTGAGAAGGAGAAGAACACCGACCGTGAACGACGAGACTCAGGGAGTTTTTTAAGGATTTGAGGAAGTTCTAAAGACAAGTTGTGGGTTGTTCGTGCAACTAGCGTCCATCAACACCCACATTCAGTGGGAGAGGGAGCTGAGTTTAGCAACTTCAGTAGATAGGCTAAATCATTCTGCTGGTTTTGTTAACTTCGAGAGGAGTGGAAAGTTCTACAAGATCGGAGAGAAGCCCTGCAAAGGAAACAAGCTACATTTGAGCTTTATGGAGAACGGTTTCAATGTCATGGATACATCTTTTTCGGGTATATATTATCTCTATCAAATCATGACCTCAATTACACAATCTGTTCTAAACATTAAAGCAAGAAATGCATTTTGGGTTTGAAATCCAGGCCGCCCTGCCGTCGCATTCTTCGTTATGCTTCTTTGAACAATAACAACAAATAATCAGAAAAGAAATGCACGGAGAGCTGTCAGTTGTTCATATGTTTGTTCATATATAATTCATATACTTCATCTAACACACACAAACATTTTAGTCTATATTTTTTTGAGGAGTACTAGGTTGTTACGTTCTATCCGATTTGTTGCCTTGTAACGCAGCTATTTTCTTAAAATTTTGCATTTATTTAGTTAAACACCCTCTAGAACACTTTTCTTGCTCTTTCCGATGCTTACCAACACTTGAAACAACTTACTAGTTGATGAAATATCAAGCTCCAAAGCCAAGTTGCCAAAATGCATCATGTTCAAGAGAGACTTCTATGAAGAATTCCGCGATGATCGTAAATTTACCAATGTAATGTCTTATATTGTGTAAGGAATAATGGACTACCATAGGCGCAGTTTGCTCCCACATAGAGAATGGCTTACTTTTCAACTATGTCTTCAATGCGGAATTCCTCACTAATTCTACAAGCGACAATAAAATACGTACATCGAGAAATGATATACTTAATATTGCATATCTTCTTAAATAAAGAATCGTAAGGTGCATTCAAAAATCATCAGATAGCGGGAAACCGAGCGGGTCCCGAAGCGCACCTGCAACTAGCACCTTTGAGATTACTGTTCACTAGTATTAAAAGCGAGAGCAAGCGGGGTCCACTCGCCAATCAATTTTTTTGCTCGTGAAAGCAGGATAATAAATATCGGAAAGTCGACATATGTACTTGCGCGCACGGAGGAGCTGCTCATACAGTTCATTTGATTTGCTCATAGAAACTTTTATGCAGCAAAACAAATGTTCACCTCAGCCATAAAATAATCCTCCAAATTCTCTCTTTTGTCTCATTTTGCTTTTCACATAGCATACAGTACTCAATGTAGCCATAGACTTCCTTGATGTAGCAGAATTTAATTTGTTTGAAAATGTTGAATTTCAAAAATCACAAATCTGCAGGACAGAAATTTTGAATAGCCTAGTATTACTAAAGTACCAAAAATTTTTGCGAGCTCTTTGATACAGCAAGGAAAGCAACGAACTGCTTGAGTCATATTTGGTAAAACTGACAACATACAGCATATACAATGATATGGCCATGCTTGGGGCTAGATGAAGAAAAAAGATATTCAAAGTGGCCTTCTGAGAAGCATCCTAGCAAATGTGAAACAATACCACCTTCATGAATGAATGAGAATAATGACAAAGCACGTAACAGTGCTATAGATGAGTAACGCCCTTATGTACCGGAACATTTAGTTGAAAGCGCTCGTAAACAGTAATTCACTCAAAACATCTATGAATGCAGTGAAAACCAGTTCCTGAGGCTTATTCGGCAATTCGATCACCTGCGGTCAACAATGCTTGACTCTGATAGTGGAACACGCGCCGTCTCAGAACACTCCCCAGAAGAATAGGACGTCATTGTGGAAAGTGAAACTCATTCCCGTTGTTCTCACTTGATCACCGATCGTCTAATGTGCATGCGCAAATTGCCCTTGTCAATATGGTTGTTCTTCAAAGTGTGCTTGACTGAAAAAGGGACTTTAAAACATACTAGAAAGGTTAAGGTGAACTAGAGCTATATTGAATTACCCTATCGAAGTTTTTCAAATCTCCAACTTCTTTGCTGAAACGGATGCACTCTTCCCTTCCTCCTTTTCTCAGCAGCTCAGCATTAATACTAGCTCGGATTACTATCAGGTTGGCTAAAAAATAATCTCAGTTGTTTTTAACGGTTCGTGATGTGACAAATCCATTTATGTATTTATGGTGCCGTTGGGAAGAGCAAATTGAGGAGAATCGGATAGTAAACTCTGTTTTATCAAAAATCATTTTTCTAATAACGAAGTGGTGCAGGAAAGAAGAATAATCAGATTTTTTTTACCAAATTCTCGAATCAAAATTTAAAAAACGATTTGAGTTTGGGTGTAAAATGTATTACTGGCACTGAGACAAATAGTTATTGAGGTACAAACACTTGCAATGGCAGAAATGGTCAAATCCCCGCGTTCTGGATAGGCCGAAAACTGACTTCTACACTCAAATATGAAAATTCTTACATTTTTGGTTGTAGATATCCACACCAGCACATACAATCTCCACCGTGGTTCGCCATGTAAAAGACTGCGTATTTTTAATTACCAAATTAGTTGTGTGCACTCGTGTAACCTGAGAACGAAACTTAGAGACTCAAAAAAGTGAATTTTTAGAAGGCTAGACATATAAGGGCATAGTTGTTAGCACTGATGACAAAAGGCTCTGAAAGCTTCGCAGTTGCATGCCAAAACGAAATTATTGATTAGCCAACCTAATAATCCAACAACTTAGATCTTCTAAGTTCATGCATGAGTTCACGTACCATAAACCAACTGCAGGCTGCAAGTTCTCTACAGATCGTAATTTGTGCTGTTAAATAGTTAAATAATCAAAATGTCCATGCTAGCAGAATCTTCTGAAGGCAAGTTAGCTAAAACGACCGGCAATATTTCAATATTTCAGCAGGTGATCTCAAATGAGCTGTTGAGACGACGACTGAGTGGTAGATATTATTTATTTGATTTCAGAGTCTGATTGGAAATCATACAGAACTCAGCAGTTTTACTCTGCGCTGAGGCAGTGGCGGACTGGGGGGAGCCCCCCCCCTCCCGAGAATGGCTCGCGGAATCTTTGAAATTTACTTATATGGTTATACAATTGCAAATGACTTGTTTATTCTTGTAAACAATTAAAATGATTTTTAAAATTTTTTTCAAAAATTTGAATTAGTCTTGTAAAAAATTTTTCGGAGTGCGTTGCTAACGCCACGCATCTTCATTTGAAAAACTCCTTTGCCCCCCCCCCCCTCTCCGGAAGGAAATCCTGCGACCGCCATGGTCTGAGGCCCGCAAAGAAGCCTCGGACAGAAGTTCTCCGCTAGTCTTTTTGGCTTCTCTTTATGCTGAACACGATGGCGGATGAATATTTGTCGGCATACCCAATAACCTCTTCATCGTGCATGTCCAACTCCTAGTTTCATATGTAGTAAAAGCTCCCTCCGCCCCTCCCCCTCATAAGAACGCTGCTTTGGTAGTCCTCAATCAATTCTCTAGCGGTTGGATTTTTTGTTTAGTAGATGATTCTGCCTAATTGTGAGAGGACCACTCTATAATATTGTAACCTCAAAAATTTAATTTTTCTTCTGTCTCTGGAAACTCCTTCAAACAGAATCGAATTTTGCTCATGAGGGAATCGCAAAGGTCATAGTTTACATTTGATCCATGTTCGACTATCCGTAAATCTTAGCATAGTTTGAATATTCTTGTTGATTTTGGCAGCATCCAAGGTTGTTACAGAATTTTTTTTTATTCAACAATATATGGACTGACTGTACACTTATGTACTTTCCTTCAACGTTTCGGTTATCTCATTGAAAGTGAAATGCGAACTCTCTAATGATAACCTGCAAGGCTCGTTTTTCTTAGATTGTGAAGGGTATGAAGACAGCCTAAGTTGTAGCACATTCTGAATGGAGCGACCATCCGATCACTTTTACCGAAACATGTAGCTAATTTGTAGATCAATATAACTTCTAACATTAGAAGCTCCCAAAAAAACTGAAAATGCGCGCCTCATGGATGCGGAGTTTATTTCCGGCAGTTGCATTATTTGGCAGCCTGCACTGGTTAAAAAAGGATGACAAATAAGGGCAGATTTTGCACTTGCTCACTTGCTCGAACAGTTGTGGAGAACGCCATCATTTTTGTTTCGAGATTGATTGAGCAGTACAGTTTGCACTAGTGTACGAGATTTGTTTTTGGCTACATTTTGAAACTTCTTTCATTGGACAAACTACCTAAGAGGATAACCATGATAAACTGCCTGTCACTTTTGACATGTTAAGCTGCTTTTCTTCTACACTTTTTGATACTAAAATATAGTGTTGTAATGGACAACAGTTGCTGTCTGATCTTTGCTCCACATGTACATGGGGCAATGATAGTAAGCTAATACATTTGTGTTTGCAATTTTCAGAACCCAAATTCAAACAAATATACTACTACAACTTGATGATCAAGAAAGACAGTACAAAAAAGGCTCTTGCTCTAGACAACTAATTTAATTACCTCCTGCAGAAGATTGATCGGCTAATTTTCTGAAAGTAGGACCATAATCAGTGCTTGATGTTCAGTAAAATTGGTTAGAGGTCCACTTTTTACTCATGCTCAATTTTGACGACAACAAAGATTAAACATCGACGTCTCACTGTTGGCTTCGATAATTGTGTTCTTTTTATTGATGTTAATAATGAGGCCTTCAAAAGTGTTAGTGGCACTTACAGAATTTTCTCTCAACATTGAGCTGGGGTTGAGCCATGTTGGCAGTGATCATTGTAAAGTCTAAAAGGAGGTAAAATATTAAGATGTTCTGACATTCGCTTCCTGGAGTATATCAGGAAAACTTGATTCTTTGTTTTTCTTTCTTCTACAATTTTGAAAAAACCATACCTTGCTAAACCTTTGCTATAGTACAACCGGTCTTTGACCCGAATTGACTATTCTTGCTAAGTTATACTCTGGAGGGGCCCATGCCTTTTCCCAAATCGTTTCCGAATTAGCGAAGGCTTACTATTATATTAAGTATCTATATCAAAAATAAGTTGATTGAAGAAGCTAATGACGTCAAAGGGGAATTTTCTTAATGAGCCATTGAAGAAGCTAATGACGTCAAAGGGGAATTTTCTTAATGAGCCATTAGAAGATTTCGTAATACCAACCACACTTTACATATTTTCTTCCTTATTGGCACAACCTTACAGTTTGCTTCTTTGCTTGAAATTATGGTGCTGCTGTGATATTTTTATTTTACCTTGACGCAAAAGGATGTGTTGTCTCTTGTCTTGACTACTGTCTCTTGTCTGTGGCTATTGAACTCGTTCTTCTATTTCCGAAGTGGTCTGTGGCTATCGAAGATGATGCTGAAAGTTTCACTGTGAACTAGCGATGTTCATCCTACAGACTGGATTTTCGTACTCGTGCAGTAGCTCCCTAGTATGAAATTAACAAGCTCTGTGCGAGCGCCGTTCTCGCCTGTTCCGCTTGGTGTGTAACAGTGTCGTAAAGTCTATAATGAACACATGGCGGTAATGTCTGGATGTTTGAAAAGAAAGCATTTAGATTTTTAAAGGATCCTCGTGTTCTCTCGCTCATCATTGAGAAGACTCTGTCAGATGTAGATGATTTCGGAGAAGTGAAGCAAGCCTCAACACATCTCATGAAGAAGTTAGGGATGCGGTGCAGGAGGAACCAAAGGCACGCCGCCTGTAGCCGTAGGAGACAATTAGGAGCGCGAGCGCTGTGGTAAGATTGGTCAGGATCCAGGAAAACTTGGTGAGGACATCGATTAGAAACAAACCCTTATAACTCTTCTTGGAGTTAACTTCTAGAAATACGAAGGACAGATTTGGAATCAGTATTGAAATGCGCATTTTTCAGTAATACGCCTACCGGATAGATAGACAACCCTGTATCGCTACACGAGTTTTATTTTTACCAAAAACTGAGCCTTCAAGATTCACCATTCAGCTGAGGAGTTTCAAGTCCAATGTTATGTGTAAGACTTGAGTGATTTTCCTTAGTAAAATTAGATTTGAAGTTAAAAGTAGGGAGTGGCAAAAACAATGTTAACTAAGTTGCATGTGGTGAACTTTTGCTATTGTATAAGCTTCGAAACATTTACCGATATTCCCAATAGCAAATCCAATGTAATCCCTAGTGTCAAAATCTAGAACTGGAATAGCTTAATTAGAGGCAAACTGCATATCACATCTTGACACAAGCCTAGATGTGTCTTTATGATATTTTGATTGCTTTGGTTCATTGACTCAAAAGGCAAACTATTCCTTTACCCAAAGAAATTAATTATAAATGAAAATCCCTGTCGTCAACAATTTTAAACTTCAAAATTCAGAAAACAAGAAGTTCCTATAAGAATGGTCTTTCTTACCAGTACAATTCCCAATTTTAACTTAATTTTGGGCTCAGTGAATGCGCCTTCCAATCTGCATTACAAATCTGTTTTTCAAATTTTTCTAAGTCATCTCCAGGCAAAGTTATGAAGATTTGTTTCTAGAGGATGTCCTTGCCAAGTTTTCTTGGATTCTTGCCAAAATATTCTCCATAGCGCTCGCGCTCGTAATTATCTCCCGCGGATACAGGCGGCAGCCCTTTGGTTCCTCCTGCACCACCCCCAGAAGTTAGCCATATTCGAAGTTTGCCAGACAACCTATTCAACACATCAAATTGTTAACACATTCTTTTGCACCTATCATTTTCGAATGACAACCATCTTCAAGCAAAACACTGTCCGTAGTGGACTGGACATATTAGGTCGGTGCAAAACTTTTGTCACTTTTCAAAATGATCCGGAAATCCAGTACAATAAAGATAAATAAGAGCTCAAGCTGTATCCGATGCGGAACTTCCACTTTCTAGCTGCTATATCCCAAGTGTGTTTTGTTGAGGGAATGCTGAGATAATCGCTGAATGGGACCCCTCGTTTTCACCATGTCCAACTTCCGCTAATTTCTTAAAATTCTTATCTAAGACTTTCGGGGAGCTTCGATAGCCAGCAGATGGAACAAACCTTTTGCCAACTAATTTAGCTTTGTGCCTCGTCTTTCAGAAGTTCTAAAACATAGTTTTTTGAGCAACCAAATTTTATATTCGGCCTTTTCTAAGCTCGTAGAACATGAACGGGTATGTCAGGCATATACCATTCGATTCAGCTTTTCCTCTTCTTTCTAAATGTTGTCCTCTTGGCGAGATACGCGAAATTTACGGGAAGGATTGCAGTGTTTCTCAGTTTCACGAGTGCGCAGTAACGTACCCTAAGTTCCAGACTGTTTATATTTCAAAGCGAAAATACCTCGTTCAACATATAGGGTTAGTAATAGTGATTATCGAGTGTTGAATCCTTTGTATTCTGTAGATTTTGCAGTGTTTGGTGCAAATAACGGGTTACGCGATTTTTCCATAATTTAGGGCTTTTGGAAGATTATTTGACAAAATTCTGAAAGGGCAGCTAAAAATGAAGAAAAACTGCAGTAGTGGCAAAAGGCTTGCCTTACCTGCCGGCTATCAAGGATTCCCTAAAAGCCTTCCATAAAACTTTTAAAAAACGAATAAAAAGTTGGACATTGTGAAAACGAAAGTTTGTAATCTTCAGAGATTACCTCAACACTCTTTCAACGAATCACATTGAAAACACGGCAGCTGGAAAGACGATGAAATTCAGCATCGGATGAAGCCTCATTTGCTTGTTCAGTCATATTCTATGGTATTTGCCGGTGGATTCAAAAAACTGACAAGATTTTCGCACAGACCTGATATAATAGTTTGCAATACATTGCAACGATCGAGTAAGAGAAGTCTGTATTTCTAAAATCTTGAAATTAGAGCAAGAATTGAAGAAGACGAAAATAAAAGACAAGTTTTTAGGAAGATCAAAAAAACAGAGACCAATTGCTATTTCTTAGGTAATTATAATTCGTTAAAGAGCGCACATCAAAAAATTTGTGATGCATTATCAAACGCCTGTAATGTTTATACTACACTTCTTGAGCAATATAGCAGCTTTGTACTTTGTTTACAGATATTAACTATCTACAGCTGGCTAGATCAGTTCTGGAAGATGAAATCTTCATAATCATGCAGTAGCGGCCCGATAGTAAAGCTCGATCAGTTGAGGTGAACTCAACTTATCCCATCAGTTCACCTTAGGTGAGGTGAACTGATTACCGTCCACGTTCCCATGCTATAAGATGGTCAAGTTAACTAATAGTTGACCATCTGTCCACCTGCCGCAGTCAACTCTTCCACATCAGTTCACGTTTAAGTCACCTCAACGTGAACGGATGTTAGAGTGATCCAAATAGTGTGTAGAAGAGGAGACGCAGACAAGAGGTGACTGCATCTAACATAAGTTGCTCCTGAGTAACTTACGATACACACAACTTTGCCAAAAAATGCAGAAAAAATCGGCACAAAACTGCACAATACCAGCGCCCGAAAAGGGAAGGATCGATGAACAGCTGATTTTGGCGACAAAAGCAAGGATGAAAGTTTTCTTCTTTTTTTTGCAGAGCAATCTTAGTTTCTTGTAAAAACTACTTTAGAAGAGAATCTACTTATTTATTACGTTTTATTTATGTTCCAAAAATTTCAGTTTTTCATGAATTCTCCGTCAAAATATGTCAGTTTTGTTTTATCTGTCCATTTGCTAAGTGATATCCTTGTTAGCGGTCACCATCGATTTTTTTCGACAGTGGCCGCTATCAAAGATTGTCCGGCGATGCAGCAAAAGTTGTGGCGCCAGCCGGTGTCGAACCACGACCGCGCGCGTGTGATTCCAATCGCTTATCCGTTTGACCAGACCATCTCAAGTGGTTGGTTTTTTGAGAACACATGTGGTTATCATGTCTAGGAAGCGATCCACATCCAAATCAATAGCTCACTGGATGCTGGACTGAAGCGCGATGACCTCAACTCCGGTCCGCGTCGAGAGAGATGCCCGGATGGGGGGTTTGCTACGGGCCAGCGCATAACGTGCTAAACGGAGGATCTGAATCTAAGAAGAACCCTGCACTTGGACTATACCTCATTCCACTTACTTGCATACTTATAGGCTGTATCAGCCAGCATCGGTCCCGCGCCAGTATGACTTGCGACGACGCACCGTCGCACGCGACGTGCCTTAACGCGTAGCAGAGTTCGCACGCGTCACACCGCACCGTCACAAGTTGCCGCAGGCGCGACGTCGCGTGACCGATGCTGGCTGGTACAGCCTATAGATGGCCCGTCCTCACGCGACGTGCGGGCCCGGTACAGAAGTTTCCATTGATCCGTGCCCCTCTCTTCAGACATCCACGATCTTCTTGGTCGTCGTCGGTGGCTGCGCCCACGAGTTTCAAGTGCGAATATCGTATCCAGCTGATTTCTCAGCTGGTCCATCCGTTTCACGAACACGTCTGCCCATCTCGTCGGTGGTCTCCCTTGGGAACATGTTGCTTCGCGAAGAATCCACTCAGATGTTCTTATCGTCCATCTGTCGTCTGTTCTTCTCATGATGTGACTGGCCCATCGGTGTTTCGCTTTTCGCAACGTATTCAGCTGGGTCACACGAAGACGGGACCTTTTTCTCAAATCCGTATTGCGAAGTCCGACAAGATGTTTGTGTCGGCTTATCTTCAAGACTGTGCTCAAGCGCTCTGTGAGTGGTCCGTAGAGCTTTCGACGTGGCTACAGTGTCGGCTTAAGGCTTAGCTGCGTAACAGAGCGCCAGGAGAGGTTGAGTCGAATAGGTGGGCACGAAGCTCCGGGTCCGTCTATTGC